GGGGGGAGGAGGGGGGGCAGGGCCTTTGCCCACAGGAGCCTGCTGCCCAGCCTGGGGACCCGATGCCACTGCCAGCCCAGAGGGTCTGGTTCTGGGCCTCTGAGGGGGAGGCAGAAGGCTGGACGAGAACAGGCCTCCTTCCTCAACCCTGGCCATCCAGGGTGAGCAAGGCTGGCTCTCCCCCACCCCCACCCCGGCCCCAACTCCAGCCCCCAAAGGCCTTGGGGTTACCTGCCCAGAGCCAGGCAGGACTCCCGAAGGAGGGAAGGGGCCTCTCTGGTGGATGATGAGGAGGAGGAGGAGTCAGCCACCAGCGGGTCCACCCGTGGCCCTGTCCTTTGCCCCATCAGCTGAGCAGCTGGCTAGCTCGCTTGTCGGGGGGGGGCAGCCTCATCCTAGGGACCCCGCCCGACACGCTCCTAGTCTGGGCTGGGGGCCACTCCGGAGAGGAGAACAGGAGCCCGTCGGCCCCGACTCAGGGAGAGAGGAAAACACCTCCGCCCTCTGGCCAAGGGGAAGCCGGGTTCCCAGGCCAGGCCGGCTGGGGCTCCGCAGAGGGAGGTGGAACCCTGGGGCGGGCTGGGCTGGGCTGGCCGGGGCCGAGGTGAGCCAGGCAGCCTCTTCCTGCCTCTCCAGGACCTTCCTGGCCATCCCAGCCTCTTCCTGGGTGGACGACTTCATCGACTGGCTGAACCCCTTCTCCATCTGCTGCCGCATCCATAGTTCTGGCCCCGACCAGGGGGAGTTCTGCCCCTCCACAGACCGTAAGTGGGGCTGAGCCAAGGAGAGGGGACAGGGAGGTGTTGGAGGAGCTGTGATGGAGAGGAAGGTGGCAACTGGTGTGTGTTTGTGTGCGCAGGTGTGTTGGGGTTTGTGTGTGTGTGTACGCCGTGTGTCTTGAAAGTGCCCCTCCCGGATGGAGGTCCCCATGGGCCAGGGCCAGGCCCAGTCTTGGCCAAGGGCCCCCCCCCCCACTAACCATTCCTTTCTCCCCTCCGGCAGCCTCCTCCTCCTGCCAGCTCCAGCGATGCATGCGCATCCCCAGCGGAGCCCTCCGACCCTCTGTCGAGGAGTTCCACCGGTTCCTGCCCTGGTTCCTCCAGGACAAGCCCAACCTGAAATGTGCCAAGGGGTGAGGGTTGCAAACAGGACCCGAAGGGGGTGGGTTTGAGAGAGGAGGGGCGTGGTCCAGGGCAGGAACTGAGACGCTGCAGATCTCATGTCCTCCAGACCCTGGAAGAACCCTCGACCCTAGAGAACATCGGCTGCCCCAGGGAACCAGCCAGCCACGGGCATGGCCCCTTTCCCCATGGGGAAGAGGCGACAGGCAGAGGGGGCACCAAGAGGAGGCGACAGCATCCCTCCCCAAGCAGGGGGCGTATTTGCCTCCCCCTCCAAATAAACAACAACAAAAAACAAACAAAAACAAAACAAAAAAACTCCTGTCCTCTGGACATGCCCCCCAGCCTTGGTACAAGAGCTCAGCCCAAGAGAGCCCCCACCCCCCCAACAGAGCTCCATATACCCAACCCAGCCCTCTTTTTGGGACTCTTTTTCAGACTCTTCTCCCTGACAGCTGGAAGGGAAAAGGAGGCCAGAAAGCCTCACCGAGGGGGTGGGGGTGGGTGGGGGGAGGACAGGGAGCTGCTGCTGCTGCTGCTACCTCCGTGCAAGGGGGCAGCTGTCACCCGCAGGGGCTGCTGGTAGGAGAGGAGGAGTCCTGTCTGCAAACCGGGAAAGCAGGCCAAAAAGAATCTCTGGGGTGGTGCAGGGGGGTGTTCGAGCCATTCCCCAAGGCGGGCCCGTGAGGCCACCACCCGCAGGCTGGTAGGAGAGGAGGAGTCCTGTCTGCAAACCGGGAAAGCAGGCCAAAAAGAATCTCTGGGGTGGTGCAGGGGGGTGTTCGAGCCATTCCCCAAGGCGGGCCCGTGAGGCCACGGCTACTGCTTCTGGCTACCATTCATCTCACACACACCCCTCTTTCTTCAGGGGCCTGGGAGCCTATGACACCTCAGTGCGGCTGGGGCCAGAGGGGGAAATTACAGGTGAGCTTGGAGGGCTGGGAGGTTGCTTGGGTGGACCCATGGCCTGTGGGGTGGAAGACGGAGGAGGGGGTCCTGCTCCGCGACTGACGGGATCCTCTCGTCTGGAGGAGCATCTGCCAGGGGTGTTTCATGGAAGCCCCCAGACCCTCCCTCCTTGCCTCCTCCTGGCTGGAGAGGGGCCTGCATGGCAGGGGGGTGACTCCTTGAAATCTGGCTGGGGGGGTGGGGGGTGCAGGCACGCCAGCACAGTGACCCTCATGTTCTTCCCCCCAGCATCCCGCTTCATGGCCTACCACAAACCCCTGAAAAACTCAGCGGAGTACACGGCAGCTCTGAAGGCCACCAGGGCGCTGGCCGCCAACATTACGGCCACCATGCGACAGGTGCCAGGCACGGACCCCAGCTTCCAGGTCTTCCCTTACAGGTAAGGCAATAGGAAGAGGGTGGGGTGGGGTGGGGTGGGGTGTGTTGGAGAGCCATGGGGCACAGAAGATGACTGCACCTGCGGCAGCCCCTCCCCCCACATTGCCAGGCCCCAGGGCACCCCCTCCCGCCAATTTGCCACTGGGCAGATAAGTAAATACCCCTCACCCCGCAGCCCGTTTGAGCAAAGGGAACTCTGCCCATTCGTTTGTGGTCTTTGCATTATGCAAATAGAAAAAAAAGCATCTGGGCCCCATCAGGGTGCCCCCATAGCCCTTCTTCCTCTCTGGCAGCTCCCAGCCCCCATTACGGGGCTGAGCCTGTGGCACTAGCTGCCCCCCCCCCGCGCTTCTCTTCTGTATCCTTGCGGCAGGATTCTGACACAAAATTCCTGCTTGAAGTGCCACTATACTGTCTGCCAAAATGATCAGAAAATATTATTCCTTATGCCCCCCAAAGGCCACAAGCCACCTATTGTTCTTGTTGATTCCATTGTTTTTGAAATGTAACTTTGTTTAGTCCTTGTTATAAAAAAAGTAACTTGCCACAGTTGGTTTCTGAGGTCTGAGCTGGAGATAAAGGAGCCGCCACCAGCCAGCTGGCACTTTGGATGGGGGCCGAGGGAGGCCATTTCGAGAGTGTTTTGCTGGAGGGCAGCAGAGGGTGAGGGTGAGCAGGTGGGGTGGGGGGCCCCCCCATCCCCACCCCCGCCCCTGATCATCTGCTCCTTTGGCAGCATCACCTACGTGTTCTACGAGCAGTACCTGGACATCCCTCTGGTCGGCTTCTTCAACGTGGCCGTCTGCCTGGCCCCCACCTTCATCGTCTGCTGCATCCTTCTGGGGATGGACCTGCGCTCGGGCCTCATCAACCTGGTCACGATCCTCATGATTGTGGTGGACACTGTGGGGGCCATGACCCTCTGGGGCGTCTCCTTCAATGCCCTCTCCCTCATCAACTTGGTGGCGGTAAATCCAGCCTGGACTGAGGAGGCTTGGGGGGGACGGATGGACGGACGGAGGAGGAGGGCGAGGGGATCCCTGCAGTTCCCTCTGTCTTGGGGGTTTCAGGGTTCATCCCTGTGGCCGTTCCCCTCCTGGTGGCCGATGCCTGGGATGGGCTGCTTTCCAAAAACCTCTCCCGTCCACCTTCTCCTCCTCTTCCAGCAGAAGCAAAGGCAGTGGGTTGAATTCTACTCTTCTTTCTCTCCCTCTTCTGCTCCCCCCAGGTGTGGCTGCTCCCCCCAGTAACTGGCTGAGGTCTCTTGGCCTATCAAGAGGCCTCCCCCACTTCCCTCTGTGGACGCTGCCCCACGTCCCTTGCTAACCCTCCTCTCCTCCCGGCAGGCAGTGGGCCTCTCGGTGGAGTTCGTGTCCCACATCACACGGGCCTTTGCCGTCACCGGCGGCCCCAGCAAATTGGCACGGGCCAAAGAAGCCACGGTCTGGATGGGCAGCGCCGTGAGTAGACTGGGGAGGGTGGAAAGCTAGCTGGGGCCAGATGGGGGCAGTGGGGAAGGGATTGTCTTTGGGGTCTGCTGTTGGCGGGCTGTGTGAGGGAGGCAGAGGGCTTGATCCTGCCACCCCCACCCCCACATACATACCTGCCTGAGCGGGGGGCCCTCCAGATGCTACCCTGCTTCCCCCTTTCCTGCAGGTCCCAGGGCCTGGGCCTCCCTGCTCCCCCCCCCCGCTGCAGAAGGGGGGCTTCCTTCCTTCCTTCCTTCCTGGCCACGGCTCCCTCACCAAGCAGCCGCTGCTGGGTGGCCTCAGCCCCTAACCGGGGCATCTGCTCTCCCCGGCTCAGGTGTTTTCTGGGGTGGCCATGACTAACCTGCCTGGGATCGTGATCCTGGCCTTTGCCAAAGCCCAGCTGGTCCAGATCTTCTTCTTCCGCCTCAACCTCATCATCACCCTCCTGGGGACGCTGCACGGCCTCATCTTCCTCCCCGTCTTGCTCAGCTATTTCGGTAAAAGTCCCGTGGGGGGGCCTCCGGCTGCCCTCCTCCCCTCCTCTCAAAGCAAGCCTCCCACGGGGCCCCCACCCAGCCAGCACACTCGAGGCTCCTGTTCCTGGAGCTGCTGATGCTCGCAGAGCGCCTGGCCGGGCATGGCCTGGCCTGGCCCTCTTTGTGGGCTCAGGGGCTCTGAAGAGCTGCTCTGCCTTCACTTAGATTTTGAAAGTGAGACAGAGCAAAGCCATGGATGGCCGGTTCACCCAGGGCGATGCCTGGCGCTGCCTTCATTGTCTTGCAATGCGCTCATACATTGAGGCGCTGAAAGTGCCGGGGAGGAATGGCACCGGCTGAAAGTGGGCACCGGCCCCACCCTCTGAGGAGGCCATCACGTGGCAGTGACGGGGGGTGTGCTTGAGAGAGGGGGGGGCCCTCCTGACCCTGTCATTTCCCTCCACCAGGGCCTGACATCAGGCAGTCGGTGATGCTTCAGGCGCAGTCGAACAAGCAGCAAGAAGGTTTACGAGAAGCACAGCCCCGGAAGAGCAGCTCAAGCAACAGCCGGCGCCCGACGACGGCCCCAGCCTCCTTCAGGGTGGCCCGAGAAGAGCAGCTCTGAGCAGGCTGGTCAGCTGCTGCCTTGGCAGCAGGGGCTGGTGCCTCAATGCCCCTTGGCAGCTGGGCCGTCTGTCTGCCTGTGTCTGTGTGCGAGCCCTGCTCTCCTTGGAACAGCAAAAGAACCACAGCAGCAGAACGGGACAGCAGTTGTGAGGGACACAGCGTGTCTGTGATGTGGGTGCGAATGTGTGTGTGTGTGTGTGGGGGGATGGAGGACCTGCAGGTGGCTGTGTGCACACGCACACACGCCTATGGCAGATCCTCCTTTCACCCACCCACACATTCAGAAAGAAGGGTGTTTGGATGCCACACACCTTTGTTTCTATGAAGTCCTCAAAGCGGCTGCTGGCCCACAGGTACTCTGAGCAAAAGGGCCCCCCCACCCTTCTTGTTCCCCAGCTGCCCAGATCTGCCCAAAGACCTGCGTACGCCAGACTCCAGGACCACCAGAGCTTGTGCGCTTGGGCGACGTATTTTATTTTTTCCTGCTGTGCTCTCCTCCTTGTGCGAGACAGAGGCACAGGCTGGAGGGACAGCACGTATGCACTTTGCCGGCTCTGAGCGAAAGCTGGCCGGCCACCTTTGGGAGCACAAGATGAGCGAGAACGAAAACCTGTGAAATAAACATGGATGAGGATGCCTTCTTTTCGTTCACTCTGTTTTTTGTCTGGCCGGCTCCTGCCCCATCTGGCAGCTCCTGATCACACACCGATCCTCGGCAGGTGCCAGCCTGGCTTTCTCACCACCCAGTGCAGTTTCTTCCCCCCCCCCCCCAGAACACCCCTCCTTCCTTCAAAAGGCAAAGAGAGCAGGCCGGCCTGCAGATTGGTTCTTCTCTTTCTCATTCACACAGGTCAACGGATGCAGGCATGCCTCTCTGTGTGAAATGGCATCTTTAAATAACCCCTGTCTTACCCCCAAAGGAGAGGAATGTGCGCCCTCGAATCCATTGTGAAAGGGACAGGGCAGCAGATCTCCCAGAGGCAGGCAGGGAGGGCAGAAGGGACCGAGTGGGAAAGTGTTCCTTTCCCTCATGAAATGAGTGAATAGGCGACCTTCACATCCAGGGGGCTGCCTGGCCCTGCCTAGCCATGGGCGAGGAGTGAAGGCAGGGGCAGTCCAATACTGTAGCACCTTGAGGGCCACCTGCCCCGTAGGGGTCGCTTCCACGTCTGGGATCACCCCCAAACACTGGCATGCACGTGGCACTGAGGGGGGGGGCTCCTTGCCCGGTCCTGTGTGAGAGGCGGAGGGGAAGCACGGAAGGCAAAGCAAGGGGCGGCTGCTTAGGGCCGCCCCGCTCTCTCTCCTGCCCGCGCCCCCAAAGAGAGAGACCACAGTCCCTCAGCTAGAGAGGAAGGAAGGAAGAAAGGAAGGAAAGGGAATGGATGGATGGATGGAAGGAAGGAAGAAGAAAGAAAAAGGAAGGAAGGAAGGAAGGCGTACCCCACCGCCACGCCCATGCAGAATTCTAGCAAGGGGGACGACACCCCTCAACTCCCCTTCTTATCCGTCGGACCGGGCCTCGACACGGTAGGGGGCAGTTTTGTCCGCTCCCCCGCCCCCCGGAACCGACGGAGCCGGAGCTTGGGGAAAAGGAGAGGCCGGCGGCGAGCGCCAGGCTTGCTCCGGGTGGCGTCCGGAGCCCTCCCTTCGCGATGCTGTGCCTGCAGGGGGGCGGGGCGGGGCGGCGTCCTTCCCGCCCCGTCGGGATTCCGGCCTCAAGGGCCAAAGCAGCAAAGCAAACGGCGGCGGGTGTGTGCGTGTGTGCGCGCGCGTCGGGGCGAGGCGAGGCGCCATCAGTGACGCGCAAGGCGTCGGTCCCGGTCAGCCCCCGCCTCCTCGTCAAGGCACCTGGCGGAGCTTCCGATGTCCGGCGTGCATGGCCGGAGCGCGAGCCAGCAAGGCGCAGGTGCGCGTGCTCGCGGGGGTACAAGGTGCAGCCTTGCCCCCCCCGCTCCCTCCTCCGGCAAACTGTTTATCGCGCAGGAAGGCGCCGCGGCCCCTTCGGACAACACGGGGCTTTCTTGGTCCCTGTGCCGGTTGCCCTCCAACAAGTATTCGCCGGGGGGGGGGTACAGAGGAGGACGGATCGAATATAGAGCCTCCGTGACCGGGCGCAGTCTACCTCCCTCAGCCCTCCCTCTTGCTAGATCCCCACGGGACGCCCCGCCTCCTCTCCTCTCCGGCGCACGTCTGCCGAGCGGCCACGGGGGGGCGCCCGCCGCCCGCCCGTTTCCTTCCTCGGGTCCATCGCCTCGCGGCTTCTCGCGAGAATTTGTCCATTTCCCTGCCCCGGAGGATCCCCAAGATGGCGGCGCCGTGGTGGCGAGTGGGGCGACCGGGCCTGGAGGCGAGTGCCGGGCGGGGCGCGTCGGGGCCTCCGGAGGGAGGGAGGAAGGGAGGGTGGGCAAGTGAGCCGAGCAGCGGGGCTCGGGCTGGTGGGAGCCTCACCTCTCCGCTCTTCTTCTTCTTCCAGGCCTGGGCGGCGACGCGCGGCGGCGGCGGCGGCCCCCGGTGGCTCCTCTGGGCCGGGCAGGGTTTCCACACCTCCGTCGCCCGCCCTAAGGTAAGGGCCGCTGGGTCCGCCTCGGAGCGAGATTCCTGGTGGCCGCTGCTCCCCCGGCGGGGAAGAGGCGCTTCTCGCCTCCCTTTTCCGGCAGGGACGGTGGGGAGTCTGTCCGAGACGCGGAGGCGCTGGATCTCGTGCCGGTTTCCTCGGAGGAAGGCACGGTCAGGGTTAGGTCTCCGCTACCCGGGAAGACCTGGCCGCGGGCCGCACGGGGCGAGAGAGGGACGGGGATGATTTTCCGTCTGGCTCCGGGCAGCCCTCCTTCCGAGGAGGAGGAGGAGGAGGAGGTCAAGCCCCCTTGGCTCCCCGGGGCTCCTTCCGCGGGCCCTTGCCCTGGGTGAGATTGCGGAGGCTGTGAGGGGGCCGCGGAGAGAGGCCGGGCCTTGGCCTTGGCCTTCCGCCCTGGCGCCTCTCACGAGGGGCTCTTCTCTCCTTGCTCGCCCTGCAGGCCAAGGCTGCCCGTATTCGCAGCGGGAAAGGGATAATACCGGTGACCTACGAGGAAGCCCATCCGCCCCACTACATTGCCCACCGCAAGGGCTGGCTCTCTCAGCACACAAGTGAGTGAGGCCGCGCGGAGGGGATGGCATCGGCGGTCATAAGACACCAGGAGGGGCCAAGGAGACTCTTGCTCCTCAGAGGGAGGCGGTGAGTGGGGCGGAGTTTGCTGTGGGTGCCTGTCCCTACAGAGAGGGGAGTTTTGGCCTCCTTTTCTCTTCTTGGGGGAGAGCCTGGTCAGTGTCCCTTTGTGACACGGTAGCTTGGAAGCCCTGTCCTCGGCCTTCCTTCAGTTGGCTCTCGAGTTTTACTTCATGGTGAAAGTTGAACTTACCTGGCCCTTCTGCAGAGGAGAATGAATCCATGTTGTTCCTCTTTAAGGCTGTTTCTTCCGGGGTGTTTCCTGATCCCAAACCTCACAAAATTGGTCCCTGTCTTTGATCCACCCTCTTTGTGTGTGTGTGTGTGTTGTCTGTCTCTGTAGGCCATCTCTGTGGAGAGGAAGGGGCAGCAGAACGAGCTGTGGAGGATGTCTTCATACGCAAATTCATCTATGGAACCTTCCATGGCTGCTTGGCCAATGAGATTGTGCTGAAACGCCGGGCCAACATGCTGATTATCTGTGCAGTTTTTGTCCAGAAGATGTTGCCTCATAAGTTGTACTTCTTGATTGGTTATACAGAAGTATTGCTTTCTTACCTGTACAAATGCCCTGTCAAGATGGAAGTGCAGACTGTACCTGAAAAGGTGATCTACAAGTATGTCTAAGCCCAGGTGGCGTCTGCAATGGTGTGGGGGGGGGCCCTCACCTAGCACCTCTCTGTCCCCAAAGGTTCAGTCCAACTTCGTGTTTTGCTTCCCCCTCAGCAGAAGGGTTGCTTCCAGCTAGGACTGGGGGAAAGGTGAGACATTCAGAGATGCTGCTTGCTTGATGGCTGTTCCTGGTGTGCAACCAGCGACTCAAAAGATCTTGGTTTTTCTAATGGTATGAGTTGGACAAAGCTTGGGATATTGTTAATATCCAAACAAAAATGCTTGCTACTTGGTGTCACTGGCTGGTCTCAGGTTCTTTTATTTCTGAGCAAGTAGAATCTTTGCACAACTAGGCCAGAAATATCTCCTAAAATTATGGGAAACAGTTTGCTGTCTTTTGCTCTGAACAGGAACCACAGGGCACCCACCTTGCCAGTGCAGGACTGGACCATTCCCCAAGGCATCCCCAGCCTTGTTCAGGATAGTTCCATTGGTGCCCATTTAGCAGCAGCAAAGGGGTGTCTGACAAGAGGGAAGAGTTTTTTCCTGCTGCATTGGGGGTGGGGTGGGGAGCTTTGACCTGCGAAAGGAGCAGCTGGTCCATTGCTCTTTCTGTCTTCCCCCTTACTTAAAGATTGCGAAGTGTGTGCTTTGAGGCTTGAGAGGGAGAAAGGAAGTCTTACAGGGACACTGGACTTACTGGTTGATTCCAAGGCAAAGAAGTACATTATTTTTGCTTAAGACAGAGCTGTGGCACTGTAAAACCATGGAGTGGTGGTATGCTTGGGTGTGTGACCATAAATATCATAGCTCTTCATTCTTTCAATGCCTGTGATGTTATTCAACCAGTTTTTAAACAGACCTACCACATAGAATGGTGTGGCTTACTGGTGGGGATAATGACAGATTTTTGTAGCACAGTTTTGTACGGCAAATGAAATTTCCCTGAAAGAAAGTGCTCCTTTGCCAGTAATAAAATTGGATCCAATTAGCAGGCAGGTATCAAAGGGGACTGTAAGGAAAACCCCCCAGATTTCCTCTAAAAAGAAGACATAACATGCTCCTTTGCATTCATTGTCCTTTTGGACAGATAAAGTTGTTTGGTGCTTTTACCTTGGTAGGGATAAAATAAAGGAGATAAAATCCAGTGAACTTTGTATTTCCATACATCATGCCTGGCCCAGGCAGGCTCAGAAGCACACCCTGGTTGTGTTCTGTGGTTGTACTTCTTCAGAAGCCAAGTATTACCATAGGGGTGCCAAGAAACTGGGCTGCACCCATTCAGAAGTCTCCTCCTGTCTGAGGTGTTTGTCAGTGCATCCTGAACTCAGGAACTGAGTATTTCTAAGCTGCTACCATGTGTTTCTGCCACGTACATCATGTTCTCCTTGGTGGGGGTGTTGGAAGAGCCGTGGCACACTGCCATGACCTTAGTCTCTGTTCCACTCCTCTACCCTCCTGGTTGTACCCAGTGATTCCTCACAGGTAGGAACATGATAACACGCAGGCTGGCTGAAAGTATTCGTATTAGCAGCTCTCACTGGGATGGGGAGGGATGGAGGCCAAGATGGGGTAAAGGCAGTTCTCAAAACTTTCGTTTCATGAACTGCCTCCTTTAGATTGATGCACAGTAGAATTCCCTTACTGGGTCAGAGACACTGCTCCCCACCCCCAGAGATGAACACCATGGCCCAGAACTCTATTGCAGTTGTGGACGAGGAGTCCTGGCATCATCAGATTATAGACAACCAGGGCTTTGCTCCTTGAAATATCATCCTTTTGGGTGGAACGGTCTGTCCCTGGGATCCCTAGAAGTGCTGAAGTCAAATACAGAGTCACACAAAGGGGGGCATGTTAGCTCCCTGGGCAAAGGAGATTTCTTTTTGAAGCAGCAGAATCTGCATCAGAGTCACTTGCCAGCTGGTTCTTGGCATGCCCAACATCAGGAGGAGGCTTCTACTCTGCTGACTCTGCCCCCTTCTCTGCTGGCACCTACAGATTCCCAGTCACAGTAGGATCCAGTTCTACCCACAGAATGTGGTGCTGCAGCACATAAATGTTGATCCTTTTCCAGTCTTGGCATTTTGTGCAAAAGAAAAAAAAAGGCAGAGTGTTCTGTTGAGAGGGGGTACATAAGGGAAGAGCATAAATAGTCCTTCAGAAGAAGGCTGGCCTGCTGCTTTGTGTTGGGGGTGCTTCTGCCCAGGGTGAGGTGAGGATTGGCTGCAGCAGAGCTGTTGTGTGGGACCTACTGTACAATCCCATCTGCCTGCAATCAGAGATGAGATGGGACGGCTGGACGTGTGCCCATCCATTGGGCTAGTAATGGGAAGGGCAACAAGGGCATGTGTACTGCCAGATCTGCAGGATATTTCTTCACATTGGCCTTGAAACAATAGAACCATGTGACTGTAGAACTGGAGGAAAGCCTGAGTGTGAATGAGTTCAATCCGATGGTGCAGAAATCCACTGCTAAAGCATCTTTGCCTGGCAGCCACCCAACCGCTGTTTAAAAATCTCCAACTAAAGAAAGCCGAATACCTTTCAGGGCAACAAATTCCCCTACCAGATAACTCTGGAAGTCAGAATGTTTGTTTCAACCTTCAGTCAAAATCTACTCTCCCTGTAACCCAGATTCATCAGAAGCAGCCTCACTTCACTATCCATGCGAGAACAATTCAGAGCTGTGAAGACGCTTCAGTGTGTTACTCTCCACTCAGTAGTGCTTATTCACATCCATTACATTAGTCTAAATTACTTTAATTTTTAAATTTTGTCTATATTTCACATGCACCCACAATTTAAAATTGTGTCGTGCTCTGATGTGAATAAAGATAGATTATGGGATTCACATCTGAAACAGGGCAGGTGCAGGCAGCCTCAGGAGCCTCCTTGGCCGAAACGGCCCCCAGTGTCTGCTGGGCTCCTGCAGGCAGCAGGAATTGCACCAGAGCTGTACAGGATCCAACATAAGTCCCTGTGACTGGATGACCCTGGGTGCAAGGCCTCCCTGGAGGTCATCCTTGTCTCTCCCCACCCCGCCAGCTAAACGAGGCATAAGGGAACAGCTGCCTCTGTTCGGACTTCCCAGGCCAGACCCCTTCATGGCTGCTTGGTTGGTGCCCTGGTCTGGGATGAACACAATTGAATTTGAGCTAGCTGAGTTCTGAGCAGCCTCATGTAGCCCATTTTAAGGAGTACTTTGCTTTGTCAGTTTATGCCTTAATCAGGTCAGTGAGGGTTGCATAATCTCTTCCATTGGTGTGCATGTTGTTACAACATCTGAAGACGAAGGCTGAATGTTAGCCACAGGACCTGTTACTGGCAGTTGCAAAGTTAAGAACAAGCAGAGGTGCCATCGGCATTCTCTGGGCTGCTGGACCCTTGCCTGTCATAGCCTGGCTCCCACTCCAGACACAAGCCAGCCTGCAGCTTACAGGTCTGTTCTGCTCCCTGCCCCCCCCCTTTGTCCGAACAACTACCCTAATTACCCCACCCTAATCAGGTTTTCTGGCTTTGCTTCCATTTTAGCCACTTCATGATTCCACACCTTTGTGTTTAAGGCAGCTTTTCTGCCATGAAATACTTGCTCCCTGCATGTGTTTCTGTTCTTGCTCTCCTTGGGGGCAGGGTTGTGTATGGGTGAGAAGGAGAAAATGAGAAGCAACTCGCCCCAGAGGAATGCCCTTCTTTTCAGACCCTCAGGATAGCTGGCTTGCTTGTGTCTTTTCAAACTTTCATGCTGCTTGTCAGCCACATAAATCCTTCAACAGTTTACAATACCACCATAAAACAATAAAAGAATCAAATGAAAACAGAGCAATGCTATATATAGAAGAGGAAACAAAAACAGTTTAGGGTTGGAGAAAAGCCAGGGTGAAAAGATAGATTTTCAATAAACACTTAAAACATGCCAGCATGGGGAGCTACTGCTCAGGGAGGGCCATTCCGAGCTGCTACAGGTGGCTTTACATTCTACTGCCAACACCTTATACACAACTGCAACTCAGGAGCAGGCTAGTAGTCAGCAAAGATCTTTCTGCAGAGATGTGACATGTATGCAACATAAAATAATCCCATAAACTTCTGATCAGTCCTAAGGGCAGCCCCATATAGAGTACTTTGTGGTAAGCTGATTTTGGGTTTACCAGAGTGTGGATGAGTAACCCTGTCCAGGATGGGGTGCAGTTGGCAAACCAGCCTAAGTTACTCTAGGCACTCCTAGATGTGGGGTGGGGTTAGCTAAACCTCAAATGATAGCTGGCAGCCAGTACAACCACATCGGAAGTTTGTTCTGTGGGAACCTTAGGTTTCAAGGGTTCTTTTCCTTCTCACACAAAAATCTGGGTATGTTTTGATACAAAATCTCCCTAGCATACATATTTGAACATAGTTTTCTTAACACATGGAATTTTCACATACTAAAGAAGATTTTCAGATGTATGCATTTTAATTACTGTATTTGTTTGCATAAAATGTACAGAAAAAGGAACAATCTAATCATTCACTTGCCCCCTCTTCTTGACTGGAAACTGAAACGTGGGCATTGTTAATGATCTTGCAGACCACAAACTGGATGAATTCATTTTTGAAACACTGCAGTTAACTTAAATTTTGTCTCTCTCCCGAGTCAGTTCTCGCTTCTTTGGACTCAATCAGGTCAGTGGGCGTCAAGACAGGTTGCGGGTGCTTTCAAGCCTGTTCTGCCTGGATTTCAGGCCTGGAGGAAGATTCCTCCAGGAGTGGCTGGTAACCCAGTTTGCCTGATGGCTAACCTCAGCGGAGTAGCAGCCTTCTCTACTGCCCTCAGAATTCAGGTCTGGGGAACATACTGTTCTTGTATCTGGGGCAAACACCATTGCTTTCTATTGCTGCCACAGAGCAAATCCCTCACAAAGGCAGAAACTTTAATGTTGTTCCTTGCTCATCACAGAAAAGAGTTGGTAGCAGGCTTCAGTAGCAGCAGGTATTAATCCTGGTCATCATCAACTCCCGTTCACTGGAGAAAGGAAACAGCACAGCAGCTCTTGTTCTGGGTTCCCAAGGAATGCCTGTCCCTCCACCCAGCAAGCCATCAGCTGTGAGATCTCCCAGGCCCATCTGGAATGTCAGATGCTGCCAACCTTTGCTCCAGGCAGTGGTGGGGAGGGGGTGGTCATGCCATTGAGACTTCCTCCTGGCTGGCTTGCTCACTGGGAAGAAATGTGCTGCAGAGAAGCAGCCCCCAGGATTGGGTCTGGGGTCCAGGACCTGAGCCCTGTGCCTGGAGAGAGCGTTGTTTGGGAGCAGCCAGGCTCTTACAGTCCTCGTGTCGCTCACCTGCTGATCCCTATTCGGCCCAAGAAGGCAACGAGTTCACCCCAATGGCACTTGCTGGCAGCATGTGATTTTGTCCTCTGAACCACCCAAAGGTCAAAGCAGCTGCCTTGTGCCAATTTCTCCTCCAACCAAGCTCCCCACGCCTACCCAGGTTGTGGTTATGTCCCCAGAGAAGGAGACGGGCAGGCCCAAAACATTTTACAACCTGAGGCAGAGCAGCTGACCCACATCCAAGTCAAGCTGAATTGCGCCACAGACTTATCAAAGAACACAAGGAAACAAAAATACCCAAAGTGCTTTTCCTCACATTAAAAAGAGATAATAATGAGAAGTTATACAACTAAAGTTTCCTGCTCTTTTTAATTAGACCCCCCCCAACCCAAATCTACTGCCCGAGATAGTTCGATCACTCTGCCTAATAGCAGGGCTGGCCCTGCTCGGAAAGCAAGCCAATCGAGCAGGTTTGTTGCATTTCTCAGCAGCAAGGCCCTCTCTGGCTAATCAGTGTTGCGACTTTCTAGGCAGCACTATTAATAACCTGGATGTTGTGTGAGAGGCAGCACAATGCCATGGGGTTGGTTAGCCTGGCAGTTTTGTAGAGAGTTGCTTCTGAGAGGGTTGGATTTGATATATTTCACTTTTCCCTGGGACCTCTCTGTCACGCTCCAAGAAGCTTGGGAAGACGTCTCTTCCTTAGGCTCTGAGCCCCTTCCCCTTGCCACTGGGTGGAAGATATGAATTGCTGCCTGATGAGCATCCAGACCCTGACTCCCCATTCAGGAAACCAAGTGCCCTCAGCTGGGAGGCAAGCATTACCTCACGGGTCATGGGGAGATGTTTCATTCCCAATGGATAAACATTTCCAGCACCCTCCCTGTGACCACGGCTGGCTCCTCCCGAGACGGCGGGGCAGAACTGACCAAACACCGTCGGCTTCTGGACAAGGAGCCCTTTCAGGAGGGCAAAGGCGCCTCCTTTGCCAAGTGCGGTCTGGTCTCCGGCCCCTTGGCAGCCTCCTTTCCTGCTGCCCCCACAGTGCGTAGGAGCACTGAGCCCAGCCAGACGCAGGCCGAGGCCAGCGGGAGCCACAAGGCTTCCTGGCATCTGGTCTCCACAAGGCAGCCAGGATGAACGGCCGCCCAAATCACACACACACACCCGTGAATGCCCATGCGGCACCGGGAAGAAGTCTCTTTCACCCACAACGGTCCTCCCCTCCTGTTCTTGCTCCCATAAACCAGCCCTGGTTCCCCCGCGGCGGTGGGCAAGAAACCACTTGGTGGGGCCGGGAGCAGAGGGCGGCCGAGCGACAGAAGGGGAGCCCAAGCCACCTTTTGCCCGGTGGGGCTCCCTGAGGGCCCAAGGCGAACACGTAGCGACGGGCCTCATCCTGACCGCGTGCCCCCCCACCGCCTCCCCCTTTGTAACCGAAAGGCGGGGAGGGGGGAGGAACGGTTGCCAGGGAGGGAGCCCTTCAGGACAGCCACCGGGGAGGGGGGGGGGCTCGACCTTGAGGGCAGGCCGCAAGGAGACGGGGTGGGGGCGGCTTGCAAGCACCTGTCCGGAGCCGTCGGGTTCGAAAGGCCTTCCTCCTCCTCCTCCTCCTCCTCCTCCATGCGGGCTTTATCCACTGGGCAGGCCGCGAAGGCACAGGGCTCCCCCGCCAGCCCCCCCGGGCGGAAACAAAAACAACCGCCCAGGCGCCTTTCCATGGGGAGGGGGAGGAAGGAGGCCCTTCAGGAAGCGCAGCGCGGGCGGCGGAAGAGTCTGGCCCGGAGCCTCGCAGCCGCTGCCCGCAGGCGCTTCCGGCCCTTCCCCCTCCGTCCGGCCACACCGGCCCCCTCTCCGGACAGGATCGGGCCCCTAGCTCTTCCGCGGCGCGCGTGCGCAGGCGGGACCAATGGGGACAAACACCGCCCTGCCCCAGCCGGACGGACGTTCCGAGAGGGCGCCCGCGAGGCCGCGTGACCTAGGGGGCGTGGCCTCTGACGCCACACAGCTACCGTCGGGCGGGAAATAAGTCACCGGCTTGGCGCCCCAAAGCGGACGGGGCCTGGTCACGTGGCGAGCGCCTATAAAAGAGCGTGTGGCGGCGCGCGCAGCTCAGCCGGAGGCGAGCCAGGTGCGCATGTGCTTCAACGGGCGCTGCTGAAGAGAAAGAGGAGGAGACGGAGGAGCGCGCGCGCCAACCCGGACAGAGAGAGAGAGAGAGAGAGAGAGAGACGAAGGAAAGAAGAGGCCGCGAGGGGACGGAGCTCCCGCGCTGAGGGACCCACCACGGCCCGAAAGAGCCCCCCGGCACAGGCGGTGAGTCCAGGGAGCGAGGGCGGTCGGTCGGTCGGTCGGGCTGCGCGGCCGTGCCTGGCCTGGCCTGCCTTTCCGGCTCCCCTCGCGCGGGAACGGCCGTTGGGGGGGGGGCGCGAAACCTCGCCTCGGGAGACGCGCGGAGGAGGCGGATGGGTGGGCTCGGCTCGCTCCCCTCCTCCCCCCGGACACCCGGTGCCGGCGGCGTGGCGGCGATGACCTTGGGGCCCAAGGCAGAGAAGCCGCGCCCTGCCCTGCCCTGCCCGGCCCGCCCTCCTTCCTTCCTTCCTCCTCAAGCCCGGCCGGGGATCACCTCGTCGGAGGGCGCCCACGGGGGAGGAGGGCCGCCCCCCAGCCTGCCGAGACTTCGTCGCGCCGGGAGGCG